GTAGTTACCCGGGTCCTCCCTGCTCCCCTTCTTGTAAATGGGAGTGACGTGACCCTTCCTCCAATCGTCCATCATGTAGATCTGTCTCTAGGACTGAACGAGGAAGCTGTTAGTAGGGCCACACCCTTGGCTGGTAGAGAGGTTAGAAGGACTATAACCAACAGGAAAACTGATTGCAGGAACAGAAGGCTAAGTCTCATGGTTACTGCAAAGGAGTTGCAACAAGTTCTTTTTCTGAACTTTGTTTGACCCTTTCAAGTGCTTGTTCCACGGGTAGTCAGGGGTTTTGTAGGCATCCAGCTTAAGCACCTTTAGGCAATTATTAATGTATGTGTTTAGATTAAAAAAAAAAAAAAAAAAACATTAAAAACCTGACGTGAAAATTGTATGTTGTTAAGCCACACTAAAGATCTCTGGAGTTCATTAGCATGACTAGACTCTTTAAGTATACTGCATAATTCTTAGCTGTTTGGGCCAAAAGAGTAGCTGAAAGGAGCAGCAAGTTGTCATCTTTTTGTGCCAGGAGAAGTAGCAGGAAGATGTTTTTTGTTGGCTTGCACAGGACAGAGGAATTAGAGGAATTGATAGACTTACAACTCTGCTTGTTTTGGCATCTGGCTCAGGAAATTGTAGATCCCCTTAACCTTATTACCTCTCATTTTGAGGTTGTCATTCTTGTACCTTAACCTGCCTCAGCTTTGCTTTGTATGCCAATCCAAACGTTCAAACTCTGCTTAAATCTCAGATGTTGCTCTCTGAAAAGCCTGATGTTCCAATCTTGATGCTGTGGGCAGAGTTGCTTGGGTCCCCATCCAACCTGGCCTTGAGCATCCACAGCCATTCCCCCTTGTCCTGTCACTATCTGCCCATGTAAAAAGTCAGTCTCCCCCATATGTATAAGCTCTCTTGAAGTACTGGAAGGCTGCAATGAGTTCTCCGTGAAGCCTTCTCTGTTCCAGGTTAAACGAGCTACCTCCCTCAGCCTGCCTTTGTAGGGGAGATACTCTGATCAGCACTCTGATCATCTTTGTGGCCATCCTCTGGACCCAGTCTAACAGCTCCTCATACCTATCATATTGGATGCCTCAAATCTGGATACGGTGCTCCAGATGGGACTCACAAGTGCAGAGTAGACGGAATCAAACGCCTACTTTGGCCTGTTGTTACCTCTGCTTTGATGCAGCCCAGGTTGCTGTTGGTTTTCTGGGCTGCAAGCAGACATCGCTGGTCAGCTTTTTGTTCACCAGTGTCTTGAAGTATTTCTCCCCACAGCTGCTCTTAATCTACTCGTTACCCAGCCTGTATTTGAGTCTGGGATTGGCATGACACAGGTGCAGAACCTTGCCCTTGGCCATGGTGAACTTTAAGGTTCTCATGGGTGCATCTCTTGAGCCTGTCCAGGATCCCTCTGGATGGCATTCCTTTCCCTCCAGTGTGTTGACTGTACTCATTACTCAGCTCACTGTCATTCACAAACTTGCTATCCCAGTCTCTGACAAAGATGTTAAATAAGCCTGGTCCCAGTCCAGACCCCTGAGGAACGCCAGTAGTCTCCATCTGGATGTTGAGCCATTTACCACAACTTTTAAATGCGACCATCCAGCCAATTCCTTATCCACAGAGTGATTCATGTGTCACATCCATGTCTTTCCATTTTAGAGACACTGACATCATTTGGGACAGTGTCAAATGCTGTGCACAAGTCCAGGTAGATGACATCAGTTGCTTTTCCCTTACCCACCAATGCTGTAACCCTGTCATGGAAGAGTACCAAATCTGTCAGGCTCTATTTAGCCTTAGTGAAGCCATGTTGGCTGTCACCAATCACCTCTCAGCTTACCATGTGCATGATTTTCGGGAGGATCTTATCCATGACCTTGCTGGTCACAGAAGCAAGATTGGCTTGTAGTTCTCTGAGTTGGTTTTTTTTTTTCTGCTTATAAAGTTGTGATTCCCTTTTCAGCAGGAACTTCACTGTACTGCCACAACTTCTCACATACGATGGAGAGGAACTCAGCAACATCTTGTTCAGTTATTTTTCTTTAGCTCTTTGTTCCACATCCTTTTCCGCATGAATCCTCCCATCTTCTCATCCAGGCATGCTATTTCATCATTTTGGGTCTTGCTCTTCTCCTGATGTGTTTTGGAACTAATAACTTTTTTCACCTCGGGATCCAAGAGGATGGAGACAGATACTTACCTGTACTTACTTTACTTACATTCTCTGTTGTATTTAAGAAAATCTGGAAAAGGTCCTATTCACCAGCTTCCTGCTGGAGTGCTTGACTGACTTGTGACGCTGGCAGGGAATCATTTCTGCCTGTAATATTTCTAAAGGTGTGGCACAAATAGCATCTTTGGAAAACATGGGTGCCAGGTGTTAAGGAGGCTCTTTCAGCATGTGCTTGCTGAACTTTTTTATTTTTGTGCTTTCCTCTTGACGTGGCAAATTTGAACAACAAAAACCAACGAACAACAAAACAAAACACATCCCTCCTAGTAAAAGCTCGATCTGCCTATTTTCATCTTCTTTCACAACCATGGAGGAATCACGGCTTCTTGGCAAAGCATAAAACAAGTCAATTTACTTCATTAAGAACCACACTTTTGCAAAAAATTCAGCCTGAGGCAAGTATCTAGCACAGGACCCATTAAACTGAAATACCTGGCATTTGGCAGTGCTATAAACATTTAAAGCTGGAATTGTGTAAGAAGAGAGGTTTGAATAAAGACAGTACTGACGATTTAGATTTTAATTTAAAAATAAGTTTATTTCTAGTTAAAATTGTGCTTGCAATATAATTCTGCTACTTTTGTTCTGGATTTCTTTGTCACTTTCATTTTTTGCATGAGCTTTTGTAGGCGGTTATTCACTGTTAATTCCTTCCTAGGCATACAGTTGCATTTTGCACTCTGAGTTTTTTAATGTAACTGGATTTTTGTGTGTTGTAGGTTTAGTGTATGCACAGGGGAAACAATGAGAATAATAGCTTCTAAACATACGGGCTACAGGTACCAAAATGCATCTTACCTTATTTACTATGCTTCTTGAGGGCAAGCTGCTGTGCTGTGGTTAAGATAAGCACCTAAGTGGTGAGCCCTAAAAGGCTGGAGCATTGCTGCTGTACGGAGGCACGGTTGCCTTTGGATATTGAGCAGAAAAAGGATCAGGAGTGGTAACAAGCAGCAGTAGTGGTGGTGAAGGCAGGAGACGGTTTCGCAGTTAGCAAATCTACCAGTGTGAGTCAGGGAACCCACAGCTTCCCAGCTGACAGAAGAGACCCAGACCTGTGCTCTGCGAGAGATTCAGGGTTCATGTTTATCAGGAGGAGTCATGTGATCTTACTACATCTTAACTTGCCAACTTAGCCTTACTCCGGAGGAGATTCTTTGCTGCAGTGCTTGGGGGGGTGGGGAGAAGGGAGAAAGAGGAAAGGAAAAAAAAAAAAAAAAAAAGGGGAAATAAAATTGTGCAATGTGTGTTTGTGCCTACATCATGCCGAGAAGACACTTAACTGTAAATAATCTGTGTATCCCTGAGGTAAGATACTGTTTCTGCTTTCCCTGCACAGTGCTGCTGCAGCACGGAGCTGATCCAAACATTCGGAACACCGATGGGAAATCTGCGCTGGATCTGGCAGACCCCTCTGCAAAAGCTGTGCTCACGGGTAAGATGCTTACATCCATCCTCAGCAGTGTTCCCTGTAGCTCATTTTGCGTGTGCAAGTTCAGCATCTTAAAAGCTTTCTTCTGCCTTTTTGGATGATCTGTTGTGTTTGATAATTTTGAAACTGTGCCTTTTTACCAGATTTCATTTTGTTGTTACTGTCGTTAATCTGCTGTGCTGCTAAAGGTTTGCTTATTCTACTTATGCTAAAACTGTAATAGTCTGTCATAACATCATTCATTATTCACTGCCTTTCTGTGTTACTTTTTGAAATTACTACCCAATGTGAGATTTCAATAGGAGCCCCCAGCCTACAAAAAATAATAATAACCAGGTCGGTTGTTTTAAGACCTTCAGTATTGAGCAAGCAAGGACAATTGTATAACTATAAAAGTACCTGTGATCTGAAAGACAACCTGCTACTGACTGCAGAGACTAACAGTTACCTCGTATTTTGCTGCAGATCCACATGCTACCTCATTCTTCTTCCTCTCCATTAGTCGTTTTTGATAGAATTGTCACCCATTGATTTCTTCTCTTTTTGGGGACTACTAGCTGCCAAATAGTGTTTTTTCATGTAAATATTTTACAAGTACAACTATGTATGCAGCTTTTTTAATAAATTGACTGTTGTAGCGTACTAGTAAGCATTACAATTTTAATTTAGTAGCCTGTCAAATAAATATTGAGAAATACATGCTGCTCTCTGCAGATTTTGACAGGTAGGGAAGAATGTTTAAAACAAAGTAATCCTTGATTTAAAAATGTGTACAATTAGATATATAGAAAAGGATTTGGCAGCTAAGCTCCACTTAAAGAAATAGCTGTTTTCGAACCTTTATTTCCCCTATCTCTTTGTCTTTTTTTTTTTTTTGACAGCATAATTTATAGGTTATGTGCTATCCAACACCCAAATTCTTTCTTCAGATGATGTTCCTTTCACTTTGTCAGGAACATTTCTTCATCTTCTCTTTTCAGCACTCACTGACTGCTATACATAATTATCTAAAGCTCTGCAGTGATTTGAGAGTGCTTTTGGAACAATGCACTTTAAATACATATGGTTTAGTTTAATTACTAAGTGTCAAATTTAAACACATTCCTACAGCGTTAATTTCTGTGTTAGCTGTATTAAGCAGGTTAATGTGATTTTTTTGCTCTTAATAGTGCAGTTTTACAGATGTTGAGGATGGAAAGGACATCTGGGAGTCAAAGTAACTAAATGGTTTTAATGGTGGTTTAACGCCTGGTTGTGGGAGCTTGGTATGTGGACAGTTGGGGGGTACTGCTTTTGATCTATCTTCAGACTGCTCAGAGGGAACTTGAAGGTATAGCAAAAGATGCAGGGTCTATGGTCATGACTTCACATGACTTCCCTGTTGACTTCTCTAGGCACTGGATCAGTGCCTTGTGCTTTAGACATAGCAGAGGGCAAGGTGTCATTGCAGCCCAGTGAGATGGGTTAGAAGCAGCCCTCTATGTGAATGCAGCATCCGTAGCCCCTAACACTTGTGTACTGGCACCCACTAACCAAGCTTCTGAAATGAATGGTTGCATCCAGGTTGTGCATATCAACACATGCACACAAATCCAATTCTGCTGCTCTCTAGATATTTAATGTTAATAAGATGAGGTAAATTTGGGTGTTTTTATTTTTCCAGGTAAGAAAATCAGTTTTTGGTTTTATCAGCTTTGTCCTCAAGGTGGCTCTTGACTGTGCTGGGCTCTCTCTGTGTTGTGCACCTTAGCTCCAGCCTGTAAACAGTTTGATTCCTGCTTTACCTGCTGTATGCTACCAGTACATTGAAGAAACTGATTTTTGGATGCCATTTAAATGGAAACTTTCTACTAAGAGCTTAATTCTTCTGGATGCTGCCCTGCTTTCTAGTAGCCCTCTTAGGCTGCTACTTTCTCATTCATTTTCTGTATGTTATCGTCTTCATGTCTGTCTTCATCGCTTTGGAAGAAGGAGGCTTAAGGGATTTCTTAGGCTGTATCTGGCTTGGGATAATCTTTAGCTACAGCAATGCTTTGTAATTAGGTGCATCAAGACTGTAAAGGTATTACTGGATTAAGAATCAGGAGGATGTTAACTTAATTTCCAGTATTTAGTGTTGAACGGTGGGATTTTTAGAGCTTTTAAAGTGGAATGCTTCTGAAAGTACAATCTGTAGTTGTTACTGTGTGTCTTTAAACAGTATGTGTGTCAGGGCTGTTCTTAAGATGTTATTTTTAGTGCCTTTTCTATCAAGTGTCTGACCTTAATAGACTTTTCCGCACTGCTGCTCTATTGATTGTGGGAGAGCAGGGTTCCTTTTATCACTTTTTTGATCAAATTCATGCATTGATGTTAATCACTTTGTGAATGAAGTATGTTAATAGTCTGTGTTTGACTTGCAGTTTAAAAATAATGTGAAAATTTGTTGGTAACTGATAAAATCTTTTTTTCAGTTTCAGACAAAGACTTCTGCATGGGTTTTAAAAGGGATGCTCCCTGTGCATAAAGAACATTTCTAGGTGTTCTGGCAGCAAATGCTGAATCCACAATGATGCATTCTTTTCTGCTTCTCAGTCTAGAAGAATGTATAGTATCTTTTTCTCCTGATTTACAGAAAGGATATATAATGCACTGGTTCCTGGGATGACTTCCAGCCATTTTCTTAGACTATTCTCTTAAAATGTATTGAAAAGGTTATGCAATGCAAAGGGTAGGCTAATATTTGGATGGAAATGGACTTAAAAAAAATTATTTTCCATCAAATTTTTTATAATTTGCAAAAACCACCTAGTTTCAGCTTCTTAAAAAATATTTATAGAGATGGTGAACCCACATTTTAGTACTTAAGCAGGAAAGCAGTCTTTTTTCCCTTTCTGCAGAATAAGCACCATTTGTGTGAGCCAAGCACTTCGTGACTTAGAGGGCAAAGATTTTTTTTTCTTCCCTAGCTTCCCTTACTGTTCCTGTTCCTGAATTGGGTTATCAGAAAGAGATTGTAAGCATCTTTTTCTCTAGGCTAAAACGCTAGTACAGGCTCTAAAAATATCTCATCTGATAAACAGAGCCATTACTTCAGATTAATATCCTAGTTAATTTTTGTTCATTTGGAATGTGTGGTTTCTGAGCTGGGGACTCATCTTTGTGGCTGTGCCTGGCACTGTGGGACTCCCATCCAGAAGAGGGCCTTTGGGAGCTATTGCAGTTCAAGTCCTATTAGTCTTCATTATTCTCTTCAACTGCTTATTGCCTCTTTAAACATTGATACCCTTTTATATCTTTCCTGTGCAGTATATGAAGAGCCAGCAATATTGTTAATGAGAATGATTTAGTTTGAATGTTCACATATTGATGCTTTTTTTGCCACCTCCCCATGTTATCTGCTGTCTAGAACTGCCTTCTGTATGTGAACAGTTGTTTCTGTACTTGAGCTGTTAGCAGGGGCTGAGGATGCTTAGGTGGGTAATATATTCTTGACTGCTCCACGTCACTGCTTTGCAAGGTTGGCTTTGATTGGTTTAAAGCACTACATTCTTGAAGAGATCCAAATGAAGAAAGTTTGACTGCTGCCTCTTCAGATTGAGATTGAAAGATTTTTTGGTAAGGGAGAAAATGATGTCTTGTCTGTTAATAGAATCAATTTTTGAAGTTGAACAAGACTCTGATCTTCCTATTTGCTGCGGAAAAGTCTTTTATAAACAAAGTAATTAGGTGCTATTAAGCTTTTCTCTCACAGTTTTTTTTTGATGTGAAGGACAGCTTGAGTGAAAGCACAGTCAAGATAAGGTTATCAGAAGTGTTAATGAGCATTCATATTTCTGTCTCTTTGTCATGTCAGCTTTTTAATTGAAGTGGGGAGCATAGTCCATTTATTGAAATATATTTGCAGAATTTTTTTTGAAGTGAGCTGCCTGCCACAAAGGGGAAAATCTGATGTTTCACTCCAAAAAGTTTATTGGAACATTACAGAACAGAAGATGGATATTAGGCACAACTCATTAATTTTAGAATTATTGGGATGAGAAGAGGGTTATAGTTTGTGTGTGTGTGGCTTTTATTATTTGACAGTCTTAAATCCCCTAATCTTTCCTTCTGATTTGATAGTATTTCTTTTCAGGTGCACTTAATGATCCAGAAGGTATTCTGTACTAGATGGATGCTAGCATTTCCTTTTGATTTCATTAGAATAATCTTTTCACCTGCAAACTTCCTCCCCCTTTCCTTTTATTGATCTAATTCTTACATGTTGTGTCCTCCAGAATCAAATCATTTGCACAATGTATAGCTTCTGCCTTTAAAAAAATCAGCATCATAAACAGCACTTAGAAAAAGAGAAACGTTTGCAAAGGGAAGGAGGACAGATATTGCTTGAATGGTTTGAGCTCTCCATTTTTCTAAAATTGTCATATCTTCTGACAAGTGACCAGGGCCTGCAGCCTCAAAGACAAGTGTGAGAAATCCAGCCAGGTGAGGAATATCCTTGCCTTCTGATGAGCTGTCAGCTCATATCTTGAAGCAAGCACTATTAAACAGTACTGGAAAAGGCCTTTGCACTTGAATAAATCTGTAATTATTTGTTTAGCATTCATGTAGGTTTGCTGTCTTTGCTTTTACCAGGAAAGAAAGAGGCCATTTGCATAAATGTTACAGGTATGATATGATGCCTGTTCATTTGGAGTCCTTGGCTATAATTGATTTTCTTTCTGGAGATTTATTACAACCATTGATCTGCCTTCAAGAATGCAGGTGCATAGCTCATCCAGTCTTTAGAATGATGTGAGCAAAATATGCTTATGGCATCTATGTAACATGAAGTCTATCACAGAAACAGCCCTCATCTGTGAGTTCCAGATAGGTGGATATATCCTTGAATTAGTGCGCAATCCCCTATTTTTAGGTAACATTGTAATTGTGACCATCTTGTTATATTTGAAAGTGTAAGTTTAAGAAAGTCTTGTTTTGTGTGTGATTTCAGTTCCCTCTTTCCTTTTTGAAGGAATTACAGA